ATTTATCCTATATTGAAACCATTGTAATTTAGTTTCATTTAAAATTTTAAAAGGTAACTTGTATATATTTTTCCAGTCTAGATGATTGGTGTTAAGATCCCTTAACCATTTTGATTTAGAAACAATATTAGTGGATTTATATACAAGTGTATCATAAAATATTCTGCAACCCTTTACTGATGTATTCATCATCTTAATAAATAAAGGTTGTAATGGATTTACTTCTTTTATTGAATTATGGGAAATTCTTAAGGAATCTAAAAGAGTGTATGATATTATTATATTGTAAAAAGTTTGTGGTAAAGAAATATTTGTTTTGAAATTCCTGTAGAGTATAAAAACTGCCATTTTCATTCATAAAGTTATTTATAAATATTATTCCACTGTTAAGGTAAGATTTATCAATGAAGGATTTTCCACTTATCTTAAACTTATGATTGTACCAAACAGGTAGAGATAAAAATTCATTCCATGACTTTATATTTAAAGATTCCATATAGGAAACATAGCCAGACCAAACATCTTTCCAGAAAATATTTTTGATGTCCTTTATTTTATATTTTACAAAATCAGAACCAAATTTATCATATGATTTAATAAAAGGACATATTGCTTCAACTAAAGATAAGTATTTACCTTTACTATTATAAAGTCTCCTTAGCCATGTAAGTTTAAAGGCTGGTAAGAAGGATATAAGATCTACCATTCTTATACCCCCATCTTCATAATTTTGAGTTATTACACTTCTTTTTATTTTATCAGGATTATTGTTCCATAAAAAATTATAAAATAAGTTTTGTATCTCTTTAATCAAATTTTCTGTAGGGCTAGGAAGACCCATTATTAAATGGTTTAATTTTGGAAGTGCTAAAGTTTTAATTACTGTATTTTTCCCCAATGGTGTAAGAATTCTTTTTGACCAAATCTTTTTGAATTATAGTTAACTTTAATAATTTCATCCAGATTCAGTGTAAATATTACCCCTAAGAGTTTAAAAGATTGTTTTTCCCATTTTAATTTAGTTGTGGACATAGTTCCATGTTATTATTTTTCCTAGATCCGATCCAAACTGCATTTGTTTTTTCAATATTTACATGCAGACCAGATATTTTAGCATAAAATTTTAAAACATTTATAGAGGTATTTAAAGATTTTTCTGAACCATCCAAAATTAATGTAGTATCATCTGCATACTGTGATATTAGAAATTCCTTATTATTTATCTTAACACCTTTAATGTCTTTATTTTGTTTGATTAGCATTGACAGAATTTCTGCGCAGAGAATAAATAAATACGGTGATAGGGGATCACCTTGTCTACAGCCTCTATGAATGAAGAACCAGTCAGACAAATGGCCATTTACAGTGACACAAGACTGAATGTTATTGTAGAAATTTTTTATCCAAGACTTAATGTCTTCACCAAAATTAAAAAACTCTAAAACCTTTGACATAAATTGCCATGAAATAGAATCAAAAGCAGTGGCAAAATCAATAAGTAAAAACATTGCTGGACGCCCATTTTGTTCAGTAAAATTCATTAGATCATAAATTAATCTAACATTTTCACCAAGGAACCGACCTGGAATAAATCCCGTTTGATCTTCACTTATTAAAGAACTTAAAATAGGTTTTATTCTGTTAGCAATTGCAGCAGAAGCCATTTTATATGAAACATTTAAAAGTGATATAGGTCTCCAATTTTTTAATATTTGTTTATCTTTATTACCTTTTGGAATACAGGTGATCACACCTTGTTTTTGGGAGATTGATAATTCACCCTTTGTAAAAGCTGCATTTATTGAACGGGTTAAAAATTGACCAAGTTTTGACCAAAATACTTTATAAAAGGCGGCAGTAAACCCAGAATTGCCTGGTGCTGAATAATTTGACATTTTCTTTAAACTCAATAATAATTCATTAGATTTTAAATTTCCTTCCAGAGATAATTTTTCATTTTCTGATAATTTTATTTTGAAATTAGGATGAATGATATTTTCAAGATCTATATCTTCAGTCTCTTTATAAGCATATAAGTTTTTGTAATGATTTTCAGTTTCTCTCAAAATTTCATCTTGATTTTGTAACAATTCACCAGACTTAGAGTATATCGAATTCATTAGTTTTGAAGTAAAATTTCTATTTTCTAAGTTACAAAAATATTGAGTTGGTTTTTCACCTTCTAGAATCCATTTTGCTCTTGATCTTATTAGTGCTCCTTCTAATTTCTTTTGTCTTATTTCAAAAAGTTCTTTCTTTTTTTCTTCTAGCAAGGTTAAATCACTTGAATTTGAATTTTGGAGCATTAAAATGTCTTTTTCAATTTTTTCTAACTGTTCCCTTTGGTCTTTAGATTTTTTTGAAGAATATGCTATGGTTTTGCCCCGTATTTCCATCAGTAATGTTTCGAAAAATAATTGATCACTTATATTCAAAATAATATCTGTATCGCTTATAATATCTGGATTTAAATCAGATGTTTGAAACTCTGAAGTATACTGACTTCTTACACATTTAATAAGATTATTTATTTCAGAAACATATTGATGATGTTTAAGAAGAGAGTTATTAAATTTCCAGTAAGAATTTCCTTTTTTAAATTTAACAAGATCTAAAACAACAAGTGAATGATCAGTTCTATAACCAGGAAGGATATCTGTGCTTTTAACACTTGTATATAAATAACTTGAAATCAAAAAGAAATCAAGACGGGCTTTTTTGACAGGGTTATTTTTGAACCATGTATATCTGTTAAGTTCAAGGTTTTGTTCTCTCCAACAGTCAATCAAGTCATTTTCCAAAATCATCTGTAAAACTAATTCCCTAGCTTTAGGATTATTTATTGATTTGTAATTAAAATAATCTATTAATGGATTCAAAACTAAATTATAATCACCTCCAAGTATACAATAATGATCTATGTTATTAAGTTTTTGTTGAATTTGACAATAAAAGTCTGGGTTGTCTCTATTAGGACCATATAAGCAAAAAAGGCTAAATGTTTTTGAGTAAATTTTACAATTTTTGGTAATAATTATTTGTCCTTCATAGCCGAATGATTTTATAATTAGTTATTATGGAGGTCATTGCTCTAATCAGATAAACTGGAATATAGTCATATGGCATATACATACAGTGTCGATGTAAATTAAAATATATACAAACGGAATGTGATAAAGATAATGTTATTAACTCCTCCGAATTTTTAAAATACATAGCAATAATGTAAAACGATCGACGCGCTGAAAAATCAATGTTATAACTTAAACTTGTTAGGTATAATATTACAAACTATACAAATTGAATATCGATATTTTATAATCTTAATTTTATGATCTTTAAATCTTGTTGATAATATTAATTTATGTAAAGACATATTCCTGTTATTAGTTTATCTCTCTCTCTCGGGAATATATTGTTAAAACAGAAGAAAAAATTAATACGTCTTCAGGCAGCTATATTAAGGTATTACCACCCTAATGGATACTATAAGAAACTGAAAAATTGACAACATAGATTAGTTATATGCCTTAAAGGACACCTGTATGCAAACTTTTGACAAAATTTACCTTACGGTTTACGAGTTATGTACACCACTGGATACTAGTATTTAAAAACCTTTAAATTTCCTATTGATAATTATTAAGAAACAAATGATAACAAGCAGCCAACAAATGACTGCAGCAAATTGATACATTCTTTTCAAACAAGTTTAAAATATGTTTAAAAATGTTTCCTTACATCTCCCATTTTAAACACCTCTTTGACCATTTCCTGCTCAGAGAGATAAACACAAAAATCCCTAAAATGTATCTAAGTGAAGGGCTTTTTCAAAATGTGTATAAATAATTTTTTGGAAGTATACTGACTGATCTTGTCAATTTTTAAATCCCTTTACCAAGTAGTTTTAATATTATTAGACTTTGTAAATGAATCTGACATTATTTAGCCAGACTTATAACTATAATAAATATATAATTAAAATGAAACCTTTCTTTTTCTTTCCAAATTGGATCTGAACGAAACACAAAAATGTTAAAAGAAAGAAAGAAAATACCCATGACTCTCAGTTTCAATACAGTTGACAATACATGTAGCCTTCCAATGCAGAGGTATTGCATTAAGGATGATAATACTCTAAATATTTATTACTACTGGCATGTACTTAATTACATGTACTACTGTTGACCAAAAATGAATGAAAGTTAACTTTCGGTTTTGTTTTTGTCAAAAATACATCGTCCATATTTAATCACATCAAATTTAAAGAAGTACTACATCAAAGTTAAAACAACAATAACAAAAACAACAAAAATACGCATTTTGCTTTAATTATTCTTACCATGTATTTATCCTAGTCCTTTTAAGGACACTAACAGACGAATACTGATATTAATAATTATTTTAGTACGTGTGTTATAGGTCAGTTTATACTTCCTCTTTCGGTTTTCATTGTTGCAAACGGTCTTAATAGAAGCAAAAATGTGAATTTTGTTTTGACATAAAGAAAAATAAAGGAGGTGCCCGTCAAGTCGTCAATGTCGCATAATTTATCAACACACACACACGCGCGCGCGCGCGCGCGCGCACGTACGCATGCATGCATGTATACATACATTCAATATCTGTAACAAAAACTTATATATTAATTTTTTAAGTTAATAAATTAGTTGAATGATAACCGTCACGTTTTTCTTTAAATGAAAATACAAACTTTTTTAAATTTGAAGTTATTGTAAAGTATTGTAAAACAACGGGAGACTAATAGCACACTATATGGACCAAGAAACGTTTACGTTTATCGGATGCTATTTCACGGTGCATATCCATATCGGTACCCTCTTTGCGAAATCTGCTCAAACGGTACCCTCTTTGAACATGCACAGGTCATTCTCTGCAAAAAACAAACCAGCGATGGATAACAATCCAGTAAAATTTCATAGTAATAAAGAAAGGAGGTATGACACGTAGAAAAGATGTATACCACTAGAATGTTTTATTTATGTACCTAAGTTTGGCGTGTTCATTTCCAGGCCCCCGGCATCATCTTGAAAAAGAAAGGTGACCATCCCGTAATCTGTGTGCTCTCCGAGTCGTACCTGACCAGGTTTCACGTCATGCTTGGGAGGAATTGGAGGATACATTAAACTTCTGAGAAATGTTTGATTGTTTTTAAGACCGAGTTGTTGATATGCTTCTCTTAAACTTCTCAGTGCCAAACCAAGTGAGATGGAGAGAGCGTCTGTCACATTATAGGACAGGTTGCTGCACAATGAATACATGCTTTTACAATTCTGATTAAAATCTGATTGCATGAATATATTTCTATCGTCTGCAGGGTGATAATTAAAGCTCTCTTTTAGATCGCCTGGAAAATTAGGGTCTGACTTTTCGGATTCCAATCCAACCAAGCTCGCCTTTCGCTCCACGGAAATGGCGCATTTTACATTGCTCATCTTTCTCGAAAAAGCATTTAGCCGATGCTAGTAAATTGTCGACGAGTTTTGTTGTAATGCATAAAAAAATCCGTAACTTTGTAAAGCTTTTTTCATCTCCATTCCTTTCTCAGCCAAAGTATCTTTGTCTATGGCACTTGTGTCATAAAGGACGCTTATTGGTTTGAAGTCGATGATTGGTATATTCGTATTTGCTTGTTGTGTCATCGTTCTTTTGTTGAGATATTAGAATAGCTAGAAAGGAAAAATGTAGAAAATCTATTATAAGTATTGTATTGTTTTATTGTTTTAACTTGTTATCACAACCAACAACATATCAGGTACATGTACAAATGTACAAACATATCAGGAATAAGCACACTACACTCATACAACACCAAAAAAGGGGGGGGGACAAACCAAACAAGCGCACATTAATTTACCTTCTTTTTACAATACAGGATTACATAAATTATGAAACTTTTGTATTTAATTAAATGCATTTCATGTACATTGTATATGTTAATTTGAAACTGAAACTTACACTGCATGAATGTGATTGTATTGTCCTGTCGTCAATTCGAAAATACTTATATATAGAATATTTGAATATACGTTATGAACTGGTTAAGAGCAAATGAGAATTTAAAATGTTTGTTGAATATTCAAGCAGGTTGAGTTCGCTGACTTCTAACCTATTGCACCTCACCGTTGTTGGTTTGAATCCCATCACGGAGTTTGTACCTGCTCTTTTGACTAGTTGGCGGAAAGTCGGTAGTTCTAATCATGTGTGTCTGTTAATAAATAAATAAATAAATAAAAATAAATAAATAAATAAATAAAAACAACACACACAAAAACAAACAACACTTAAACATACAGAATTTCTTAATCCAAAAACGTCCTTCTTGAACACAGACCAATTGAAATTTGTCTCATTAGCGACAAAATATAAAATATAAAAACAATGCAATTGGATGCATGCAGATATTTGGATTGTTGCCATAAACGTAGACTCTATTATCTTTCAGACTGTCTGTTAATTTATTGTAAGTTTTGCTCTGAGCGGCGTGATTTATCCTTAAAGATATACTATACTCAACTTTGATATAACAAAATATTAATAATTGCTATACAGTCTCTTTTTAAATATAAAATAAACATTTTTCATTTCACACAAAGTATTTATGTTATGTTTAAAATTCTACACACTATAGGTGGCTGCAATATGAATATATAGTGTCATTAATCATCGTGTATATCCAGTGACGCTGGAATGTGCAATTAACGTAAAAGGTACGCCGAAACTGTGCAACGCTATTGACAAAACGAAAAACACAGTAAGTAAACGAACCAAAATGTTTTATTTAAATTTTTAGAAATTAATTAGCGCATACGGCTGTTACGACATTATACTTTAACCAGCAATACATTTTTTATCTGGAATATGTTTACTTTTTTTAGATCATTCGTGTAAAAGACAACATGATTACCGTTTTGAAGGTGACTTTTGTGTTTCGTCAAATAAATATGTACATTTAACACATTTAAAACTTTATTTTTTCATATTCTGTATACCTAAGACATTTGTCAAACTACAAGTGTCGTATAACAATAGAAGGAAGCTGGTAAAATAGGATTTAGCTACTTTTAATGAGATAACCGCCGTTGCTTCAGTGCTTCATTCACGAATTCGGCGTTACCTCGTAAAAATGGTCTCAATTACGTTTTATCTGCTAAATTAAGTGTAATATGACACGAGTAGATTGGAAAATGTCTCAGGTACACCGAATATAAAAAATCATAAAGTAATATGTACGTTATTGTATTTAAAGATATCAACGAAACTAAAAATCGCCATCAATACGCTAGTCAGGTCGTCATTTTCACGAATGATCTTGAAAAATAAACATTTTCATGGAAATATTTTGATGAGGTTTAAAAAGTATAATGTCTCAGCAACCGTATGCGCTAACTCATTTCTTCCAATTTGGTGTACAATAAAAAATATTGGTCCATTTACTTATCGCGGTGCTCGTTTTAGCCACTAAATTGCACAATTCTGCGTTACTTTTGCACAATTCCTGCGTTATTTGTACATTCCTGCGTCACTGGATAATAAAACAACTGGCAATTGTTTTAAGAAAAGACCAACTTTCCTCGAGCACAGCTTCCAATACATAGTTTACAGCTTCTTTTATTCAAATAAGACATATTCAATAAGATTTCCATAGATATCAATAAATTTCTGTGATAAAAATATTTTACTCAAGGATGAGCATAGTTTTAGTATTATTTCAAGTTTAGGATTTACGTAATGGTAAGACGTTAATACAGATTTAAATAGATAAAAAGAGAATAGGAAAATAACGACTAAAGCTATTTAATCGCTTAATACTTATGTTTTGGAAATTTCTGATTGTCTGTTTGCCGTCAGCAGCGTTTATTGAACACACATCTTTAGGATAAATCATCCGTTTTAAGATTTGTTTAAGATTAAGTCTACAATAGTCTGACCACTACTCAGAAAAGAGAGAATTCGCAAAAGGATTAATAACATGTTAGCTACTATGTAAAGTGTAAGATTTTTCTATTGGCCCATAATAGTTTGTCTGCAACTCAGTAGTACTTAAAAGATACAAACCCTGGTCAAAATTTGGATAGACTCGCAGTTTAATGTTATTTTCTTTTGTTATATTCTGTGAAATCATGACATAATACGGACTCGCCCTGGCCAGCCGGCAAACATATTTTAAACAAAACACCTACATGTGAGTATTTCACTATGCTCAATTATAAAAATGCTGAAACGGCATTTTTTTAACATTTCGGAATCTTTCTTATTTACGAATTTATAAGTGAAAATTTCATGCATTGTTTTCCAAGTTTATTCTACATTAACGTATCGTATCATATTTCATTTCATCATTTTATTTAAATAATTAGTAGTGTTAATCATTTCATTCTCTAAAATTTCTTATCTGCTTACAATAAGAGCTTTTAAACATGTCTATACATGAGTATGTTGTTTATGTTGGTGCAAAAGCAAGTAGATTTTGACATTTGAATGATCTTTTATAATAACTATAAATAAAGTGTTATAATTTGTATCATAATTGACGCATTGTAAAAACAATACCGATGTGCAAAATAACTGATAGTGTGTATGTTTTATAGTTATCAAGATATATTTACTAAATCGTCTTCCCGAAGGTGACATCGATTCCGTTTTCAAATATTGTAGCATAATTATACATGGCACATGTTACAGGATATCACATATAATCTATTTTACATGCCAGTAGAAGGTTCGGTAAAGTTTCCATAGTGGGGCTGAATGTTCTGCCAAGAGGATGCTGAGAAATGTTGCTGTCTTTTAAGCACAGAGTTTTGTAGTTTCTTAGATCACTACGCCACAATAAGGTCCGAGTGGAGTCACTCAAAAGATCTACCCGATAAGTACTACATTCTAACCCCGTCCCCCACGGTGACTATGTCGCGCTATGATACTATATTCATCAGTGTTTATATTCTTGCCCGACAAAGCATTTCAGATAAATATTACGAATACATTAGTATTTGCCATGAAACGCACACAAATATGTTCATGCACCACCAAAGAATTGACTACTTTGAACATGTTTTAGAAGTCTTATTTTTTTTTATCTGATTTACTTATATTTAATCAAAATTTCTCTCATGCGTATGAATCTTGTTGTTAATAGGCACATGCAGGAGGAAATGACGTGTATAGCCTTTGTTTGCATTACGAAAACTGTATGCAAGACAAATAATATCATCTCCATTTGCTTGCACTAAAAACTGGTTTTGTTAATAAACATAGTTTTCCTTTCAGCTGTTTCTTTCAATAGCCTATAGATACATTTATTATTTGCTTAAATGTTTTTATGAAATCTGACGTCACTGGGGAACCGTGGGGAACCGACCGATTACATGTATGGTCAAAGTATTATCTTGAACTATAAATATATGATATAACGCATTGTTCCTCCTATTTGTCAAAATGTCTGGTGGTAAAATGTTGCACCGTACTTCATTTTAATGTTGTTAATATATATATCCGGTTCTAATACAAATGTACTTAGATGAAGATTGAATACTCTCGATGTTAGCGCACCTTGCATTATTCCGCGCAACTAGGGCTTCCAATTTTTCACCTGTATTATTTTTTTTAGCTCGATCTCTAGTGATCTTTCCCACAATGATCCGTATTTTCCAAAAGGAAAGGTAATCATAACATTTCTGTTTTCGAATCATTTCTTAATTATTCCCCTTTAAGAAATTTTATGTGTTTGAAGTCTTCCTTTTAGTTCTGGGTCATCTTGCATTCTACACATTTAAACATAGTTACTATACATAAGGAGGTTTTGTATTTATCATTAACATTTCAGTACATGTAATACCTTCAGAAATGGATATCCTTTTTTATATTAATCTAATAAATGAAGCTCTTTCTTTTAAAATTCCATTTGAACGTGTTTGTTTCTTAAGATGTAGTGGGAAGTCAATGGAGTATTTGCCTCAAGTGTATATTTCTTTATCGAACTAGTATTTGAGCTAGTATTTGTCAATTTATGTCTTAATTTTCTTTTCGGTTATACATTGTAAATTACAACTGCAGTTTGTTCATGTAATTTACATTGCTGGAAAAATTCTATGTTAATAGAACATCGTTCCATTGTCCAGCAACATATTGTTACACGAACTAGTTTATTATTATTTCATCAAAATAAACAGTGATAACAATATTTTAGTGTATTAAATTTAAAAAATGAAATTAATTTCGTCAAGATATAAATAAATAAAAGATATGATGTTTGATGGTGAGTTGTTCTGGTTCTATATTCAGACTCCATATGTGATATGTGCATTGCGTGATGTTATCTAATTTTGCTGATCTGGTCTAATATATATTGTCATGACGTAGACAGTTGTTGTACAACAGATCCTTCACATAAACAGACCATTCTTTTATAGTTAAACAAAATAAATTCTTGTTTGTAAACAATTTTATTGTCAGTGGTGTAATGCAATATACCTTTATAATATTACGTCAGTTATTCATAAATGATTTATTTCAAATATAAAAGCAATAGAAATGTACTATTTGGATATTCGTATGAAATATTTCTTTAAAGAAATGATGATGAAGTTCAAAGTGATAAAGTATTAGCATATATATGAAGGAAAAAGATATTATGTTCTAGAAAATTTTATTATCTGCTATATGTATATGTGTAATAACGGACCATGCATCTCACACTTACCAACAGCATCAATATACAATATTTCATGATTTGTTGTTATGCCTGACACTAATACATATATATCAGACCTTTCATTAGAGACCGTTTCACTTTAAACTTTGCATCCAAAATTTAATGAACAGATTTTTAACAGTTTTCAGAAATAGTGCATGTACATAAATGATTTTGTGAATGAATCTGATGCTTTCAAATGCTACATAATTTCCTCAATACATGCATACAATTATAACAGAACAATTGATTAATTGACGTTGAATATTAAAGTTCTCGAATTTTATTGTGTATGATCGTAAAAAGTCGCCACATGCTTCATCTTAATGTTGTTGTATTTTCCAGGTCCGGTTGTAATACCTTATTAAGTTGTAGATTGAATACTTCCGATGCTAGGGGCGGGATATTGGTTGCACCGCATAAGCAGACTCAATCAAACCGAGTCTACAATTTCACCTGTTTTCCTTTTTAGCTTTAGATGGATCTTTATGAAAAAAGGAAACGTAATCAAAACAATTCTGCTTTCGAATCATTTCTTAATTATTCCCCTTTAAGATTGGTTATGCGATTGACGTCTTCTTGTTAGTGCTGGGACATCTTGTATAATTCCTGCAGAAATGGATATCCTTTTCTTATATTAATCCAATTTAGGGAGCCCGTTGGTTTTCAATTTGAACGTGCTCGTTTCTGAAAATGTACTGGATAGTCAATGGAGTATTTGCCTCAAGTGTGACTGTCATTATCGAGCTATTATTTGAGATTGTATTTGTCAAATTATGTCTTAATTTTCTTTCCGGTTATATAAGCGACAATTTTCAATGTAAAGTACAACTCAAGTTTGTTCACGCATTTTACACTGCTAAAAATACTAATAGAACACCGTTCTGTTGTCCAGCAACATATACGAACTAGTTTATTATTAATTCATCTAAATAAACAGTGACAACAATGGAGAGCACTTTAAGTGATTAATTAAAAAATGAAATTAATTTCGTCAAGATATGAATGAATGGACCATGTGCAGTATGTTCTTTGTTGGTGACTTGTTCTCGTTCTATATACAGACTCCATATGGAATGTGCATTGCGTGATGTTATCTAATTTTGCTGATCTGGTGTAATATATATTGTCATGATGTAGACAGTTGTTGTACAACAGACACTTCACATCAACAGACCATTCCTTTATAGTTGAACAAAATAAATTCTTGTTTGTAAACAATTTTATTGTCAGTGTAATGCCATATACTTTTGGAATATTACGTCATTTATTCATTAATGATGTAGTTTTACTGCAAAATAGCTCTTACTTTCTTACCGAAATGAAAATAAGACTGATATATGTATTCCAGACTAAATAAGAGTCCATTCGCCTTTTCAAGCATTAAGTTACGGATCCGGTGAATATTGCGATCAACATAATTCACACTCATTGATTAGATACTGTATCATCTTTTTTATTATAAAAATAAGTCCGCCTCAAAAGAAGATTCGTCGAGCTATCCTAGTATATAGTTGTTATATGATTCAGAGTTTAACTTTGCATACAAAATTGAAGGAATGTGGAAAAGCTGTTTCTCTCTTAGGTGTTGGACAGCCCGCAAATATTTAACGGGCCAAAGCCGGCTGTTTGGGATAAAACTAATATATCATATATGATTAATTTTAGTATAAATTTACTAGTAATATTCTCACGTTGGCTGACAATCTTCAGTATTTTGATATTCATATCTACTCAATTAACTATAAACAATTTCAAACTAAAGTAGGACAATTCTTTCACACAAAGTCAGGGGGGTAAGAATACTGAAAAACTGTTTTCAGAAAAAGTACATGTACATAAATGATTTTTGAATGAATCTGATGCTTTCAAATGCTACAGAATTCTCTCAATACATGCATACAAATACAATTATAGAGCAATTGATTAATTGACGTCGTCAGACGGTTTAATTAGTTTACTTGATTGTTAGATAAAATAAAATTGTGGAGAGGAGGTTGTAAATTCAATCAAAATGTCTCCATTTAATATCTTTACAGGATTGTTCAGACATTTTATGGATTAGACATCATCAAATGTAGAGGATTGAAGGTAACAATACACCATTAAACAACTTAAGTAGATTGGACGTGATATGACGTTCTATTATTTACCTTTAAGTTTTCTGATGACAATACTTTAATTTTCAGTAACCAGCCTTGTTTGGTCATAATTTATCTTAATGTAATAACGTAACGTAACGTAACGTAATGAAGCCTAGTGTAGCATAGCTAAAAATCCAGTTTTCGTATTTCTCACTTTGTAAACTATAAGGTTATTGCGTATCGAATATTTACGTTATATATTAATATGATTAATCATCATCAAAATAATTCATGTCGGTGTTCAGAGTTTTTTTAAGCATGTTGGTATGGAATAAAAGGTGAATAACATGAGCTTTTTTTGTGGAGTCTTTGATATCACACTCAGTGTTGTCGAGTTAAATTCACATTCTCGTGGACTTTTGAGCATAAAGCATTTAACAATTAAAATAGCGACGCTAACCACACTCGTGCATTATTCGCCATATATCAGCTGTATATTAAGAGTATACTCTATTTCATTAAGAGTGTACATTGTATTATATTTGTAGCCATTTTGCTACTGATCCTTTGAAAGGAGCTTGCTCCATTGACAGAGCGAGTTTGAAACTCTAAAAATAACATGCCCCTCGCTTGTGTGTGGAGCACTATGCAATTTCACATTTGTCCGAGTTCTCCCACTTGTCTTCTACCTCCTCAACAGACGGTAGGATTTAGTTGAACAACACTAATTACAGATAAGATGTACAATTTTCAAAGCAATACAACACTTGCATTTAGACGGTAATTCTGCATTGTAGGAATCATCTAAAAAAAGTTCCTTCCCAATTGATCCCTTACATACTTTACTCACTAAATATTTTTCTCTCCATGAGTAATGATTGAAACACCTCCATTTTTTTTAAACAAAAATTGTTAAATTTTAATATTTTTAATGTGCAGCCTGACCGAGATTCAAACCTGGGACCCTCGGAATACCGTACTGTGGTTCTACTAACTGAGCTATCCGGCCACCTACAAACTACCTCCCCTGATTAGAAAACAGTTCAATACCATGACATAATCATTTTCGGAACAATTTGGGATTCGAACATACCACAACTTTGGGTCTCCTGAAGAGTTTTTCAACATCTTTCTACTATGTTTACCTCTGGAATGTCATTCATTACACCCATTATCAGGAGATAATTTTGTTATCTGTTACTTGTCATTGTGGGAGGTCTGTAGAAATCTGTACGACAAGATTTTCAAAATAGAACATATCCTATCCCTTACATCTAGACTTAAGGTTTACGAATTCAAGAAATACAAAGGTAGTAGCCTTCACACATTTAGATTTGTTTGTACATCTAAGTTTTATTGGTGTTATACTTCAAAATCCTTCCGTCTGTTGAGGCCTGTACTAAGACTTTATATCAGTTGCCTGAAATAATGCACAGAAGGGCACCTGAGGTCTTCCTCCACCAGTAAAGCTGGAACGTCGCCAAATGACCTATACTGTGTCGGTGTGGCGTAAAACCCAAACAAACAAACAAACAAATCAGCACAAACTTTACAAAATAATGACAAAAAGCATATGATATTAAAGGCACAATGTTTATAAATATATATTTATAGAGTGTAAAAGTTACAGCAGATGATTATTGCACGATTGAGCTGATGCATAAATTAGAACTATGATATTCCATGCTACTGTAGTAACTATTTAAATAAACTTTCCATGTATGATCAATTTCTACATATATTAAAGCAGCCTTCTCAAATATGACACAATTTTATTTCTGTCCGTATTCTAAGCTTTTCTGAATATTTATAAACTTATAAACTTCACTTATTTACAATGGAAAACTAACAAAAAAACTGAAGCAAAGAAGTTTAACGTGGTGAGCTTTAAATGATATCAATATTACATTTGACTGTCATTTTAAATGCGTTATGGTACTACAGTGTAGAATAATTAATTCGTCAACTCTTCTTCCGATTAAACGTAGTATTATTTGTTGTCTAAACAAATCCACAGTGCCAAAGATAAAATGTATGAAAAACAGAAACAGCTTATGTTAGTGTCAGCGTTATGGGTTAATTATGAGAAGATACATTGTATTTCCAAATTTCGTACAAAATCAAAATAAACTTTAACAAAATGTAATAATATCTACTCTATGAGAATATTTGTTTCATCAAGAAACGAAATGAAAAAACTGTCAATATCTTGTAATATTATAAATGGCTTCCTATGTAACTTAGTAACGTTACAAAACCTAACCAAGCAGCCATTTCACAAAAGATAAAATAAATACGACTTTAAAAGAAGTTAGGTGTCTTAATAGTAGTCCTTAACCGGAAGTTTATTTCTGTTTGAATGATATATGACTAGAGAGGTATTTTCACTATCAGTGCCTATTTATATCAATTTCCTGTCTTTGATGAACCCCTGTCCTCTGACAAACCGGAATCTACGCTGCTAGTGCTAGTCAATGTTAATTTACTTCCCATTAAATTTGATAAATCATTTCCGCTTCCGGGTGGGCCTGTCACGTGCTGAAAATTATATGGCGCCGAAATTTCATTCGAATTTGCGCCTTTCGCAGATGAACTTGATTCATTGTCTTCTGTCATTGGTCGATCTAGTTTAGTCACGTGCACAAAACAACATGGTTGTGAAATTTCTGCCTTTTTAGGTAATTTGAATTTCTTTTTCTTGTCTTTAATAGACTTTTTCTTTTTAGTTTTGCCGATTTTCAGCAGATCGTCCTCTGGGTCAGCAGTAAGTTTGTGTATATGACCATAAAATTCGGATGCAGCTTTAGCATCGTCGAAACTAAATCCAGCTAGTTGTGAATGGTCTTTTGATGTATGCATTGTATGAAAGTTAGCATTTGGCGTCCGGTAACCAGTCTGGTTATCTATCACATCCCGCCACATTGTGAAACCAGTCCCCTTTTCTGCCAATATTATATATAATTTTCTTTCTCTGTGGTGCTCCCCTGAATCAAGTAATAATAGGGGAATGCCCGTAGTAGAGAATGTCCATTGTTCGTTATCTAGAGCGGCTTTACTTGATCCGAAATACATGTTGACTAAACAACCACATACAAACACTTCTGACTTATGACTTCTATAAAACGTATCCACTTGTAATAGATCCTGTTCAGTCACACCTTCCCGATACTTTTGCGACATTATCATGTCCGCAAATGAAAACGTTCCTCCGTCACTAGAAGGCGACCCAAGTGGAGATTTTTGCGGGGACACTGTTAGCTTGTTTAAGGAGTCATACTTTTTTGTAATGATTCGAATGCCTTCTTTGGCGTCTTGTGGCGGTTGTAGAAACTCTTGTGAATTCATATTTGGCGGTTGATCACCAGATATAGAATTATAACTACCACTTTTAACTAAATTTGAAGGCGTGGGCTGAGGAATATATTGCTGATCTTGATATCCATGGTAACCTTGTTCATTCACTATTTGTGTCTGATTATATTGAGCATTGTCTGCTACTGGTGGTGGAACATTATATCCAGTATAATGACCAGTCTGTACATTAATATTGTTGACAATATCAGGCCGGGAACCATCGTTATTGTGGGTACCAGATTGAATATTTTGCTGAGCACCAGAATAATTAACGGCATCAGCTGGCATGACAGACTGGGAACCAGAGCACACTGTTGAAGATGGGGTTACGTCATTCTGTGTACCAGCATAGTTCGCCATGTCATGTTGTGGGTTTGCTGCCGTTTGAACGCGATGTTTTAACATTTTTCAATCTTTAATCTGAAAATAGAAATTACACGTGATATAAAAAGTAAAGGATTACCCGAAATACTAAAAATACATAAAATATAAAATATATAATATAACAAAATTCTTTTGATATCCAGTACAATTTTAACTAACATTTTTTTCTGTCTAAATTTCTGGAATGTAAAAGTACGATTATACATTGAATACACCCTTCACTTGTTTATATTTATGAATATACAGGCACATGTAAATCAAACCTCCTAACAATCATTCATAGATTGATTTTTGGATCAGTCCTTACCCTTCAGCCTGTGGGCGGACTTTACCCAGAACAAGATCAAGCGACATATCCGCGCCGTCTGCTCATGATCTGCTCTGCTCGCTATTTAGTAAGTAATTATTTTTGACACTTTCCCTATATTGATGAATGGTTTTGTCCAGATTGAAAGAAAGACAAATCCTTTTAAATCAATTAGCGTAGGAAGGGTTATCTAAGATGGATCACTTGTAAAATTGTAAACATAAACGGAAACATAAGAAAACGAGATAGAACAGAAAGCTAATTTTTCGAATGATTAAATAGTTTATTATATATTTATAAATGAAATATTGATGGAATAAAATGCGTATTTTTATTTTCCGTATTTTCACTGTAAAAATTATTTTTCATTGCAGTGAAACATATTTTCCGTATTTTCACTGGTGTCTTGCCGGACTAATTTCTTCTAAACTCAGCCAATACATTAAATTAAAAGGGAATTCTTCCTAACTAGATTAAAAAGATTAAAAAAAGAGTAAAAAGTATATAATAAACATAAAATTCAAAATATTTTTTTTTTCATACCATTCGATGAAAAAATAAATACTGTATTTATAGAAGAAACTTGAATATCCTTTATATCTTAACTAATTGAATTACCTATCATTTATAGTATGATGTATTCCTGTCTATGATCACACAAACACTATAAGAATATCTGAATTTCACAATAGTAGAAATATTGATGTGACACACGGAAGTGACTAAAATTTCCTTATTTATGATAATTATAAATTTATGTATGAAAACAGGATGTTAAGATAACGAAACTTTCAATATAACCCTATAGAGATTTTTATCATGTTCACACACGACTGACGTTCACCAAAATTCTAAAAAGTACAAAATATGATTAATTCCCAGTTTCATTTTAGGCCAACTCTATGCATATTTGTTTCCGAACCAAAACTATATCGCAACCATAATTTTATATAAATAATTAGTGTCTATAAACTGTTCAACATACAGAAGTTAAAAAAAAATAACGTATAGAAAAGAAAAAGCAAAATAACAAGTGATTTTTTTAAATGTAATCATTGGCGACGCCGGTGAGCGGCGTCGTCTTTTATGGAATACTTTTTATTTTGGCCTATGGAAGGAGCTGTTATTATTAGCAGTTAATTTCATGTTGTGTTAATTATATTTATTTTGATTCGTAAAAATCAAGTAAACAAATATGTTGTTATATTTGTATTTAATAACTTTATATAAAAAGCATGTGCATTGTGATATTATTTTCACGAAATTGCAGGCTCAGATTAACAGCTTGTCCCTTTGTTTTATTGACAATACTAAAACCCGGATTTCGAATATCGTTGTGGCCTACATTGATGCTCATTCATTTATATATTTTCAAAACTTTCCTACAAGAAGGAAGTTCACCTGCAAATGAGTATTAGGATAGGTAATGGACTGTTGTAAACGATTATCCTATTGATTTTATCCATATTACGTTTATCTGTTGAACAGAATGGTTGTTTTTACAAAGTGTACCAGTATCCGGATGTTGACAGCTATCCGATTTTCTGCAATTACTGCTGTCACATGGCCATCTACTTTTTTATGAATACTTTACCATTAATTTGCATGGCATAATTAAAATGAGCCTGCAACATTTATTAATTTTGATGTTTAGGGTGTTCTTTTGGGTTTCATGTTTTCAAGGGGAAGTAACTCATGTTTACTAAATTATTTGTTCTTTTCTGTCTATCTTAGGTATTGATTACAATTTTTGTTTTATAAAATTTACCAGTTGTAAGGTCATCAAAAGCATAGAGGCCCTGATGAGTGAATATTGATATATATATACTTTTACTGGCTTTATATACCCAATATTTCATATTTATTTAATAGAAACTTGGAATTATTAATGTTATGTGCATACATTTATATCTTAGTATATTGGTATGATGAGACTTATAATATTTCTGAATTTAAAGAGTTGCAGTTATGTCATTATTATTAAAGAGATGAGACTTTCATTTAAAGTTATAAATGATAATACATGTATTGATTGAAAATGTCCTGAAACTTGGATCAAGCAATATAATTGATAAAGCCTCAAAAAATCATGTTCTGAATAGTTATTCTAATTTTTTTCTAACATGTGCATAGTTTGAAAAGGACAGCTTCTGCCTTATCTATTTGTAATGGAGGGACACCGGTCTCAATCTCCAGGTCTCCTGAGTCAACCCGACAACAGACTTTTCATAGAGTAGATTGATACTTGTCCTTGAATAAATTTGTACACTAAATTTTATAGTGGGTGATTTGTGCCACATGAAAACCAACAAAGTACAAAAAGTAACCGGGCGCCAGATGAAAACATGAAAATACAATCTACCACAAAGTGGTTCGTTTGTTGCATTTTCATGTTTTTGCCCGGTGCCCTTGATGTAAAATACAAATCAGCCTTCATAAAATTTCTTATCATAGATATTGTACATGTATTAGCACAGTTATATTCTCTTTCAAATTGACCTGTTATAAATAATGGCACAACCAATAACTGTCTTAGCCCTTTTTAGTAAAAATAATTATACAATAATAATTATATAAATTGTTATTTTAATTAAGACTATGAGTATGTAAGGTTTTTTTTTCTTATTTATTAATTAAGAATTAATTATCTGTTAATTTAAAAATCTAAATATCTGTCACGGTTTAGAACTGTTCACTATTTAGGGGAGAAAATGTGTAAGCGACCAGATAGCTCAATCGCTACAGCCGCGGTACATTATTCTGTGGGTCACAGGTTTGAGTTCTGGTCAAGCTGAAAGTTTTTCTCATCCTGTTACTGCAAATAACCATGAGTTTAATTCACTATGCTCTGTAAACATCAGAAATTCAAGTACATGAATCAATATAGTGGGGAAAAAGGTTTAGGTTTAGAACTGTTTCATTATTAAAGAGAAAATGTGTAGCCGGCCGGATAGTTCAGTTGGTCTTCTGAAAGTCATGGGTTCGAGTCATGATCAGGCAGTTTCAGTCAGGGTTTAGAAGTGGTTTTTCAACTGACACATGTTTGATTCATTTAATAGATTGCATTTAATTTGAAATGGACAAAGGCAGTTTTGCTTGATACTTTTAAATCTACAAAAAGCATTTGGTACAGTTGATCACACTAAACTGCACATGAAGAAGTTCTTTTTTCTTCTTCTTCATCCCTTCAAGCATCTGCCATATGTAATGACATTCTTGCATGGTTCAAGTCTTATCTATGATAGCAGCTGGTGAATGTGGCTGGTACTCCTTCTCTCTGAATACCTATGGTGTCCCCCTGATGTTCATTTTAGGTCCTCTTTTATGTATGACATGTCTGCAACCCTAAGCAATAAGCTTTTATTATATGCACAGGCACAAGTATCAGACCTGGGAAGAAAAAATATTACCAGATTGATAAAAAAACCTGTGTTCATCTTAAAAGTGTCACAAACCAAAAAAAATGTTAATGATGACCCCCTTTAAAAATATACTTTAAGTTAATAGTATATTTTTAAAGGGGGTCATTATTTACATTTTTTTTAGGTTTTTGACACTTTTAAGAAGAACACAGATTTTTTATTAATCTGGTCATATTTTTTCTTCCCAGGTGTGATACTTGTGCCTGTCATTATATGATGATGACTCAGGTATCCTTGTATCTGGTAAAGTAAATCTTAAGATTGGTTTATTGACTATAAATTGTCTTTGCATCTTGGCAAGACAGAGTCTATTCTTTTTTGGTTTAAGTTTCAACATAAACTGGGCCAAGCCTCCAAGTCACATGAAATGGTACTGCTATAAAGTACACATCTTTTGTTAAGTATTTAGGTGCAAACCTGGATCAAATTCTTTTGGCGTCGCCCTTTGATGCTTTGCATCAATGCTTTTCTTGTAATAAATTGTAGGGATATAATTTTATTTTGTTTTTTTTTTTTCACTCAAAGGTCCTTTTTATTCATACTGCGGGGCTGTCATACTCAGTCAACGTGAAAACATAGCCGTATGAACTATTATTGCGTTGGTGTATGGTAAAATATTAATGAATGCACGTCTGTATCACAATGTTTATGTCTCTTTTTTAACTCACGAACTAACTTAACATAAATATAAGTTTAAGACCCAAATTCATAATCTTGGGGACAAATACATAATTTGTAAGATATGTAAATTAGTGAAATATACTGTCAATATATTTAAGCCGGTTACAAGCCTATTAGAGGCTGCTGTGTATATTTAGGCACAATACTCATTACTTATTTTCTGTGGATAATATTAAAGCATTAGTTTATAACTTAAAAGTTAAAACACTTTTTGTACATTCAGTAATATGAATAAATTTCAAAATATCATAAAATGTGCATGAATCTGGAGGCATGCTGTTTTAAAATCCTCATTCATGGTACGTAAACATGCATTAATGGAATGTCTCAAGGTGATATTTTAAATATAACTAGTCACCTGATTTATAATATATGCCGTAATACCAAAATTGTTCATGTAACTATCAATTCATACAAATGAACTATTATATATTTATTATATGTCTATGAACTATTATATATTTATTATATGTCTTCATCTTCATCCGCTTCTTTTTATTGTTCGTTTTATGTCCACTTTACTGCATGACAGCTAATTGAAAACTATGAAAAGGATCAAACTTTGTATTTATTTGATCTTAATACACATCAAATGTGCAATATACAGCTCCTTTTTAAAACTGAAA